GGTCTGTCTTTCTTTTTATTTTTGTTAAATCTAGCTACTTTAGTTGGATGCCAACTCTAGCAACCTCACTTCTTGGGAATACAACAGATAACCAGTAAGTGAGTTTCAAAAACTTCTCACTATCTAAAATAGATTTCATGGCTCAAATGCAGGCACCTTTACTTATAAATGACATTCCCAAGCCTTTTTTAGTAATTTTTTTCCCTTTTGAGTTGGAGTCTCTCTCTGTTGCCTAGGCTGGAATGTGATGGCATGATCGTGGTTCACTGTAGCCTCTATCTCCTGGGCTTAGGTGATCCCTCTGCCTCAGCCTCCCACGTCCCAAGCTGGGACAACATGTGCAGCTAATTACTTTTTTGTAGAGACGAAGTGTCACTGTATTGCACAGTCTGGTCTCAAACTCCTGGACTCACTAATCCTCCTACCTTGGGGATTTTTATTTTAGTTGTTCTAAAGCCAACCTTTTTCACTTTCAACTATATGTTTTTTATTTTCTCAGGGAACCTACATAATCTCATTCTACCTTATTTTTCAGCTATCATAAAAGTATGCTTAAGCAAAATTGGACTACTTGCTTTTTTATATTTTTGTTCATGCTAGTCCTTCCCATCTATGTCTGTCCAGTCCTTCAATGCCCTCTTCATAGGCCATCTCTTCCAGGATGAGCTTCTGATTCTTACAGCTGAAAGTGATCTGTTCCACCTCTGGGTACTTTTATGATACTTCCCACATCCTACCTTGTCCACTACTATTTATTATTAAACTGCCCCTGAGAGAACTTGTTCATTCTTGTCTTCCTGCACTGCACCATGCTTAGTATTGTTCTTTTCAGTACTTGGAACTCAGGTTGTCGTTGTTAAGTAAATGTAGCACAGTTACATGACTTCCAAGTCAGTGTCAAATTTGAAAGGCCCAAGAGAGACGTCCGTAGACACTCTGACAGCAGTGAAAAGTGGAGGAGAAAATTATAAAACAGCAAACCCAAGTACTCAGGAATATAAAACTACACACACACACGAGACTCATTGACTTAGGTAGATGTAGATAGATGGGAATTGATCATGATTCATCTTAAATGCTAGGCTAAGCAACAAAGCAAGACAGAAAATTCCAAAATATAATCAGATAATCTAAGAAAGGCAAATTCAATAGAAGCAGAAAGTAGAACGATGATGACTGGAGGCAGTGGGGGAGGCAGGTGTTGGGAAGATGTCCGTCCAAGGATACAAATTTCAGTTAGACAGGAGGAAGAAGTTTAAGAGATGCATTTTACAATATGGTGACTATAGTTAATAACAAAGTATTTTATACTTAAAATTTCCCAAGAGTAGATTTTAAGTATTTTCACCCCAAAAATAAGTATATGAGGTAAAATATGTTAATTAGCACATTAGCCATTCTCAATGTCTGTACATTTCAAAAACATGTTATATACCATAAATATATACAAATTTTATCAATTTAAAAAATAATAAAAATGGAAAATACAGCTAGGCCAAAGAATAGTCGTGTTTCTCTGATGCCTGTCTAGTTGTACTCCATTTAATATGTGGTACTCCTGAAAATGCAGTCCTGAAGTTCAGTGAGTCTTCATGGTTTCTTGCATTCTCTCTTTAAGATAAATTAATATTGGCAAAGAAAGAAAATTAAATGTATCAAAAATTATTAGAATTTTCAGCAAATGTAGATTACATGCTTGGAGTCAGAAGTATTTCAGATTTCTGATTTTGGGGGGATTTTGGAATATCTGCATTTATACTTACCAGTTCAGCATCCCTAATCTGAAAATCCAAAATGTTCCAGTTGACACTTCCTTTGAGCATCATGTTGGCTTTCAAAAAATTTCAGATTTTGGAGCATCTGGATTTCAGATTTTCATATAGAGATACTCAACCTGTAAATTGACTTCTTTGAGACTTATTAAGGAAAATCTCATGCAAATAAATTATATAAATCATAATACTTGAGGGTATTATACCCTCACTATGTTACAACTTGACATAAAAATAAGTATCCTTAGTAATGCACTTTAAACAATCAAAGAAGATAAAAATTTTAAGTGTATATTTTGTTTAAGGAAATAGGCATAGGACATTTTTGAAGATATTGCTGTCCAAACTGGATGCCTAAGCATGTGATTACTGACCAAATATGAATAATTTGTTGCCCAAGAATTGTGAACAGCTAGTTTGCTATATTTAGTAAAATGATATTATCACCAGACATTTAAAATTCCAGAGAAATAGATGATGTAGTATCTACTTGAAACACTAGGTGGTGGTAATTGATTTTAGAAATTAAATGTGAACATGTTTTCCAGCATATGTATTCTTCTTTTAACATGAAAACATTAAGTGCTTGTTACATTTCAGAAGGAAAGGGAGAGAAAAGTTTGCAAGCTATAAATTATTCATTTCTACTTATTTCAACTGTTCCTCTTGTCTCCCTTTTTTTGCTTTGAATGCTCTAACCTGAAGATTCTCGGCATTTTTTATTTCATGCCCTTTATGCTCTTAAAAATCAATGAGGATCCTAAAGAGTTTTTATGTATACAGATTATAAGCAAATAATGATCAATATCTCTCATGTTAGAGATTAAGACTGAGAAATTAAGAGATGTTGGCAAGAGTATTGAAATTGGTGGGAAAACAGTGTCAAGATTTCTTTAAAAACTAAAAATAGAACTACCTTTTGATCCAGCAATCCCACTACTGGATATCTACCCAAAGGAAAATAAATCAGTGTATCCAAGGCATACCTGCACTCACTTATTTTTTGCAGCAGTGTTCATAATACAAAGATATGGAATCTACCTAAATGTTCATCAGCGGATGACTAGAAAACTGGTGTGTATAAAATATTAGGCCATTAAAAAAAGAATGATATTCTGTCATTTGCAGCGACATGTATGAAAATGTAGGCCATTATCTTCAGTGAAATAAACCAGGCACAAAAAGACAAATATTGCATGTTCACACTTATATGTGGGAGCGAAAAATGTTGACCACGTAGAGGTAGAGAGTGGAAAGAGAGATAACAGAGACTGGGAAGGATGAATGAAGGGTATGGGGAGCAGGATGAGAAGTGGGTTAAAGCATACAGATGGACAGTAAGACAGAAGGAATAAATTCAATGTTTGATATTACAGTAGGGTGATTATACTTAATAAAAATGTATTGTACTCAGGTGATGGATACCCTAAATATGCTGACCAAATCACTATATATTATATGCATGTAATAAAATTTTACATTTCCCCATGTTTGTACATATAAAACTTTTAAAAAATAATATACTCACTACTTGTTAATATAAGCAGTATTTTAATTAAAAAATAATTATTTCCAAAATAAAAATTAAGGAGAGTAGCATTGTTTTACATATTTGAAAATCCTTTTAATGTCTAACTTAGTAGTAGGCAGCTGGATCTTCCTATCGGCTTATGAATTGAGTCTGCTGCAATGTAACACATCATTTAACCTCTGTAAAACTCCACTCTACACTCATGAGAGATTAAAAGTAAAAAAGAAAATTAACATCATATTATGAAAATCATTTTGATCTCATATGTCTAAAAGGATCTTGTGGACCCTGGAGAGTCCTAAGCCACAATTTAAGAACAATTGCTCCACACCCCATCTGTGCCTGTAAGAAGTTAGTGACAAAACACAAGCTGTATGTATATGTGCCTTCTATTAATTCTGGATTTACAAATGCAAAAAGTTAAACTACTAACTAATTGATTAAAAAAATCTTAATATAAAAATAGACAAAACAGCCAGATGTTGAAAAGGATGCAAAATTATATATACGTTGTGTTTGCAGTGGACATAATTTTTATCCAGAAAAAAGTTTTTTATAATCATCACAGTTATATCTCTGTGGTTAGATAATCTGCCTTTTCATTCTCTGTGTTTTGTCTGTTCTGACTTACCTGCATCTGTGACTTTAACTTAACCCTGACCTTTCTCTCCTATATTCCTGAGCCTTACTTCCAGTTATCTCTCTCTAGCTAGAACTCCTAAAGGTACCTCAATCCCAGCTCATGTGAAATGAACTCATGTTCTCTCTTCACAAGACTCCAGAACCTACTTCTTAATTCTTTCTTTTAGTTAATGACTATTTATCAGGTTCCCCCAGCCAGAAGCATTTAAGGAAGCTTCACTCTTAAATACATTGATTTTTCATACCTCTTTGTTGTTTCATCTGCTTTGAATTTTTTTCTCATTCTCTTTTTGGCTTGTAAAACTCCTACGTATATGCTTCAAGATTTCACTCAGGTGTTACCACTTTATCAGCCTTCCCTAACACTGTAGGCAGATGCTCTCATACCACTGTGAGTGAGAGAGTGTGTGTGTGTGGTGTGTGAGAATAGAGAGAGAACACATTTTTCATCTGCCCCTTTGATAAACTCAGTCTTTCTAAGGCAGAGACCATTTTCTATTCCTCTTTATTTCCCCAATCTTAAGCACATCGCCTGTGTTTATTTATAGATGAGCTGATAGCTTTAAACATCCCCGTTTTAAGTGGTGCAGGTAGGGTCACTGCCACCTAATGATATAAATTTTACTAATTATGATTAGCATATCCATTTGTTTTTCAAAATCAAAGTCAATTCAAGTTAGGCCTTTTACATGAATATTATTAAGTAACTTTTTACTTTTGCCAATAATTTCCTGGAGTTCAGGGAAGAAATTCTTTCATTAAGACATTAACATTAAATATAAAGTTTTACAAATACATTTAATATACAACTGAAGTATCACATTTACCCACCACAAACCTGATCTATTGGTATTTCATAATGAGCAGTACTATGATAATGATTTTACTATATGTAGTAGTATTATAGTAGTACTGTGATAATGATTAATAAACATGTACCAAGCTTTAAAGTACAATTTTGGGTAAAAGTTTTGGTATAGTATAAATGTATATGTAAGTACTATTCAGGTTTGTATATACTAATATAACACTAAGTTTGTTTTTCTTCTTGGCAGAACTTCTTGGTATACATGAACAAGCATCTGTAGGATTCTTAACACTAATGGAAGCTTTACGATATTGTAAGGTAAATTGATTTTTGAGGTACTTTGAATGTCTTTTTTGGTTTGTTTGTTTTTGTTTTCTGAGTTAGGGTCTCACTCTGATGCCCAGGCTGAAGTACAGCGACATGATCACAGCTCACTACATTCTGGGTCAGGCAATCCTTCTACCTCAGTTTCCCAAGTACCTGGGACTACAGGCACATGCCATCATGTCCATTTAATTTTTTAAAAATTTTTTATAGAGACAATATTTCATTATCCGGCTCAAGCAATCCCCCTGCCTTGGCTCCCAAAGTGCTGGAATTGCAGGTGTGAGACACTATACCCAGCAGCTTTGAATGTTTTTTATTCACCTGTCCATTGTTTTTGTTCCGATGGCAATATATTTTAGCTTATTGCTGTTATTCTGTACCACTTTCATCAATTCCTTCCTGATCTCCCACCCTAAACTGACGGGGTTATCAAGGATAGGTGAGCTGACTGATCATACTGAGTTTCCTAAACCAGGACTATTGTTTTTTATGGGGGGGACAGAACACAGTACAAAATAATATGTAAAAAGAGACATCTATTATTGAATATAAATATTTTTGTTAAACTGAGATAAAAGAAAGTACGGTTTCTTCATTAACTAATAAAGAATGCACTTCATTGAAACAACTGGTAGTACTTTATCAGGCAAAGAAAAAGAATTTGCCAAATGCCTGAAATTCTGAATTTTATCTATTCCATCTGAAAAATGATTTCATACTAAAAAAAATTTCAAGCATTTCATAGCATTAAGCTCTTTAACACATGAACTACACTGAGGAACTGCCATGAAACACTCATTTATTGTTAATTTTTTATTTTATCACCTTCCTACACAGTCTGAAATAGCCACTAAGTATCCAAATAGTTTAAAGTGTTGTTTAAATTATTAATAGTTGGCACTTAATAAGATGTCATGATTCTGGAGGAAGAAAGTAACAAATCTAATTTCCTTTTCTATTTTAGAGTGGTGATTCCATGGCAGTGGTTTTTTCTGTTGGTGGTAATTTATTAACAGTAACAGTATCTTGTCCTCCTCTTTTTTTTGGGGGGGGGCAACATTTATGATAACACTTGAAACACAAGAGAGATATGGGTATGATAATCAAATAGGATTTATCCTCCCCTTACTCATTAGTAGTAATCATCAATTAAACAGTAGCAACTCTTGTTTTCAGTGACTTTAATTATATCAGCCGAAGCTATTCTGAGAGAGCCTGGCAACCAAAGAATCAAACTGTGTGTTCCCTTTCCCCCAACATACATACACACATGAATAGATCCTAAAAAAAGTTGACTGTGTGTGTGTGAGCACATGTGTCCATACACGTTTGGCAGGAGGCTATGGTGTGGAGATTTTACGTTTTGAAATATTTACCATGTAGCCTGTAGACATTGATGGTCTGGAACCTGCCTTTCCAGTTGCATTACTCTCTCCATTGCTGTGCTCCAGCCACATTGGTGTCCTGTCACTTTCCCGAACATGCCCAGCCCTTCCTGGCCTGACAGGCCTTTTTTCTTGTCATTGCTGCCTGTACTACAGCTCTTTACATAGATGACTTTCTCTTCCCTTCAGGTCATTCTTCAAATTGTGCCTCAAAGACTTTTTCTGTACCATTCCCTCAATTACTCTTTTTCACAATATTTTATAGAACTAATTTCACTGTAATGACCCTTTCTGTTTACTTATCTTTTTTAATCTTGAATTTTTATTTTATTTTCCCTAATGGAGTCTAGATTCTTTGAAGACAGGGACATTGTCTTACTTGGTATATATGAGGTGCTCAGTAAATATTTGTTGAGTGAATGAATCGACACTTTCACCAGAATTGTAAGGTTTTCAAAATGTGTGCTTTGCTTTTCCTTAACTGTTAGGTAAAAGAGGAGAATGTCTGTTTTCCCCTCAAGATCTTAGTGGGACACCAATGCCTGCTGTATATTCCTCTGTATGCATATTGCTGGAGTGTTCTGGCAGTTAACTGTGTTTTTTAAAAATAAAATTTAAGGATTCTTTTAATGGTGCAGCATAACATACTTACACTTGGATAGTTGAAAGGTAAAACTCTGTTCCTAACAAATCCAAATGCAAGAGGACTGCTAAGTAGGGCCACATAGGGGATTACATACATGTGGGCACAGAGTTCTCAGGCACTGTGGGAACAGCTTGTGTGTGTCAGGTGGGATGGGGTTAGCCTGGTTGCCTGGTTGCCTGTGGATTGGCTAATTTGAGTAATTGTGGTGGGCTCAGGGGCTATCACTAGTTGTTTGTTCTGACTTCAGGGTTATTAGGGTGATGCCTGGAGTGTGGAAGACTTACAGAGACAGTGCTTGGGGTATGAGCTTAATCAGCTTTCTTTCTTTTTTTTTTTTTTGAGTTAGAGCCTCACTCTGCCACAGGCTGGAGTGCAGTGGCACACTCACGGCTACCCCAGTGCTGACCTGCTGGGCTCTGGCAATTCTTCCACCTTAGTCTTCCAAGTAGGCCTCCAAGTAGGGATTACAGGCTGAGCCACCAAGCCCAGCCCATCAGCTTTCTTTTTAAAGGAAACTCAGTTATCTCTAGCCAGGTAAGACTGAGTTAAGATAGCATAAAAAAAAAAAAACCTATGTAACACTAAGGCATTCATCTGTTTATAACATCTCAAATTGTTTACATATTTTGCACTTCCTTTTTACCAGCTGCTTAGAGAAATGATTTTAAGGAAATAATTGTGTTTGTGCTAATTTTGTAAATCTGAACATTTCCCTATTCTTTGATAGTGTTTTGCCCTGTAAAATTGGAATTAATATTTTGTATGTCATTTTGACCATATTTGTTCATCAATACAAATGAGATAATGAAGTGATAGCTCTCACTCTGTATACACTCCCCCCAAAAAAACCCAACAAAGAAGAAGGTAATTCTGAGTGCTTTTAATTCTTCATTTTAAAAAAAAATTAGATTTATAATTCACATACCACCAAATTCACTATTTTAAAGTATACATTCAGCGCTTTTTCGTATATTCACATGACTGTGCAACCATCACCCCTATCTAATTCCAGAATTTTTTCCTTACCCCCAAAAGAAGCCCTCAACCAGTTATTCATTCCCCCTCCTCCCCAGCTCCTGGAAACCACCTCTCTACTCTCTGTGGGTTTACTTCTTCTGGACATTTCATACAAATCATACAACATTTGTCATTTTGTGTTTGGCTTCTTCAATTTAATGTTCATCCATGTTTGAACATGTATCAGTGCTGCATTTCTCTTTATGACCAAATAATATTCCATTGTATGGTATACCAGTTTTGTTTATTCATTCATCAACTGATGGATGTTTGGGTTATTTCCACTTCTTAGCTATTATGAATAATGCTGCTGTGAATATTCATGTACAAGTATTTTGTGAATATAATGTTTTTATTTCTCTTTGGTGTTGTCCAGGAGTGACACTGCTTGGTCACATGGTAATTCTATTTTTAACTTTTTGAAGAACTGTCAAACTGTTTTCCAAAATGATTACCCTATTTATGCACTCAGCTTATTTTTATTATAAAATACTCCATGAGTTTAGCATTCATTTACTCTTTACTATATAAAATTTTATCCTCTTCTTAAAATCTCTACCTTGATTTAAATACACATACATATATTTTTCCTGAAAGAGAAGTTAGATGATATCTAAACTGTTCATCACAAGAGACAGCATGTTGTATTGGAAACCCACAAGAGTAAGAATCAGAAAATCTAATCTCTAATTCTAACTCTGTACTGGTTAGTATAGTTACTTGAATTCAGACCAGGCACAGATCCTGTGTATTTCTCTGGCTCCTTATGTATCAACGGAGGACTTGCGCTGTTCACCTTTAAAACCCTTTTCTACTGTGAAGGTGTGTTCAGAGCTTTTCCTCTTTCTTTGGTTTCTTGTATTCTTTCCTTTCCCCTCTACTGCCTCAGCATTACCATGCTAGTACATCTAAGCCATCCCACTATCATGGGGCAAAGATCTTAGTGTATATCCATGAATACATTAGAATACTTCTTTTCTGCTTCCCTCCTGGGAGTAAGAATAAATCTACAGGGCAAGAGTGGTGGTAAGAAAGAGAATTTGGCCCCAACTGCTGCAAATAACCACTTTGGATTTCCCAATTATAAGCGGTCTATGTTTAAAAAAATAAAAAAAGAAAACATTCAGTAAATCTGGTAAGATTAGTTGTTTTTAGTTAAGGTTCTGTCCTCTTAAGAGAGTGGAATTGATTGGTGTGAACATGATGGATTTCATAAATCTATTTTATTTACTGCATTTTAAGATTTCTTTTCTCATTTACACACATACAAAATAATGTTCTCGTTTTTGATAATCTAGTGTTTACAGGTGAAGTATCTAACCTTGAAGGCAATTTATAAATATGGCTTTTTATACGTTTTAAAGAGACTGTTCAAAAGCCAGGCTCGGTGGCTCAGCCTGTAATCCCGTACCTTTGGGAGGCTGAGGTGAGTGGATTGCCTGAGCCCGCAGGTTCGAGACCCGCCTGGGCAGCAAGACCTCATCTCTACAATAAACCCGCCTGGGCAGCAAGACCTCATCTCTACAATAAATCAAAAAATCAGCCGGGCGTGGTAGCGCGCGTCTGTAATTCCGGCTACTTGGAAGGCTGGGGCGGAAGGATCGTCGGAGCCCGGCAGGTCGAGGCTGCGGTGGCGGGGAGCGGCCACTGCACTCCAGTCTGGGCAACAGAGTGAGACTCCAACTCAAAAAAATAAATATATAAATAAAGAGACTGTTCATATTGCAAAACTTTGAATTTCCCTTCTATCATGGATGGTCAGATAACAGAATTCTCCTACATTCTTAAATGTTTTACGTTGTAATTTTTCTTGAGAGATTTTTATATTGTCCTAGATTCTTTGAGGACAAAGATGTTCTTATGGATTTTCCTTTTGATTTTTTTATTCATAAATCTACTCATTTGTTAATATATAATTCTTTTCCTTGTAATTATTATTATCAAGCTTATTATCTTAGTGTTCGAGATACCAAGCTGAATTCTAGAACTTGTCATTCTATCTAGGAATCTTTACAAAACCTGAGAATGATTCTTAGGGCTATACTAGTTATTTCTAGGTGTGTTAAATGTATATTATTGTTCTAATGTCAAGATGGAGCATAAATTTATTACTGACAGTTTTTTTTTAACATTTATGTTAACATTTTAACATTCACATTCAGCATTTGATCTCTATGGGTAAGGCATTCTGGCAAAATACACTATTCCAGTTAAATATAAATTGGACACTTCAGTCATGCTTCATATATTATATTCATAAGCACATATTTAAGAGGCAGTGTAAATTTTTCACTTATTTGTTTTATTTTGCTACGTTTGTTCTAGGTTGGTTCTTACTTGAAATCTCCAAAATTCCCTATTTGGATTGTTGGCAGTGAAACTCACCTCACCGTATTTTTTGCCAAGGTATGCTTATAGCAGGATTTTTTTTTTAAGTATAACATCAGATATATTTAAGTTTATATTTAGTTTGCGTCTTTGTGCAGACTTAGTCTATTCCCACTAACACATGGTTTATTCTAAAATCTAAAAAATAAATACTAAAGAACATATTTTTATACTGTTCTAATTCTGGAATCATATAAAAAAAAACTGGAGATTTAGTTATAATGTCTTTACTTTTTCTGACTTTAGAGTTTTCACTTTTAATTTTTTTTTTCCAAAAGTCACTGTGTCATGGAGAAAACAAGTGAATTTTAAAGTTTTGGACTGCCTTATTGTAAGGAGGATAAAAGTTTAACATAAAACATTTTAATTACAGTACCTCTCTTGAAAATACCTTAAAATCTATTTAATTGTTGAATGGCATTAAAGTCAAGGGCTCTTTTAAGAGAGAATATTTCCTGCAACTTTATTATATATGTGATTACAATATTGAAATAGATGAAATGTATCTGATTTAAGTTTATTTCATAATTCTTTTTTTTTTTTTTTTTTTTTGAATTGGAGTCTCACTCTTGCCCAGGTTGGAGTGGAGTACAGTGGCAGTGGCACGCTCCTGGCCACTGCAACTTCAACCTGCTGGGCTCCAGCGATCCTTCCACCTCAGCCTTCCAAGTAGCTGGAACTACCGTCGTGCGCTACCATGCCCAGCTAATTTTTTGATTTAATATAGAGACGAGGTCTCACCATGTTGCCCAGGCTGGTCTCGAACCCAGGGGCTCAGGCAGTCCTCTCACCTTAGCTTCCCAAAGTGCTGGATTTATAGGCTTGAACTGCAGCGCCCAGCCCAAAATTCTTATAACAAAACTATTTCAAAATGTCAACCTTTAATTATACATGATACTCTTCCACAATCAGTGGTTAAGAGCTTTGAGGAAACTCCAGCCTTGCCACGTTCTAACACCCCGCAGCCCCTTTTTCCATGTCTTTATTTTCATTCATTCATTCATTCATTCATTTATTTAGAGTGGAAGTCTCACTCTATTACCTAGGCTGGAGTACAGTGGCACGCTCACGGCCACCCCAGCATTGACCTGCTGGACTCCGGCAGTCCTTCTGCCTCAGCCTTCCATGTAACTGGAACTTCAGGTGCATGCTACCACGCCCAGCTCGTTTTTGATGTATTGCAGAGACAAGGTCTCGCCAAGTTGCCCGGGCTGGTCTCAAACCCGCGGCTCAGGCAATCCACTCTCCTCAGTCTCCCAAAGTGCTGGGATTACAGACTGAGCCACCAAGCCCAACCCTCATGAGGCCTTTAAAATAGGGACTAATAGTATCTAATTCTTGGAATTGTTGTCAGGCTTAAATATTAAATATTTAGCAATGCCTTGTATAAGTTCAGTGCTAAGTAAATCTCACCGTCCTCATCATCACTGCCATTTTCATTATTCAACAAACATTTACTAAACATGTCTGGTATCGTAGATATCTTGATAGAATGCTAGATGTTGGACTGAAGTAGAAAAATATAAAATTGTATTTTTGAAGTTTCTTAATTCTAATGAACTTTCCTCATTACTCCATGAGTTTTTGAGCATGTATTTGTCAAAGTCAGTTTGTTTCTGTAGAAAGTATAAGTTGTATACATTGTACTAAAGTCTGAATTGACAATGCTAAGATTTGTGGATCTAATTTATTATTTATTACTATATTTACTTCTTATTGTGCTGGCAAAAATCCAGCTAGTAGATTTAGAGCAAGATACATAATTACCTTTTCTTAAACAGGGAAAGCTATGAAGTACTATTTTAAAAGTACAGACCTTACTTATAGTTACATTTAATCTGTAAGCTTTTGCCATTCATTTTCCTTCTAAAGTAGGAAGGAAAAAATTAAAAACCGGATGTGAACTAGAGAAACTAAGTAATTTCTAATTCCTGAGTGAGAATTTTGTCATTTTACACATTTCTAGAAAAGAAAATTAGTTCTTACTTACAAAAATATTTTTCAAACTGTCATTAATCATGTTTCCCTTCAATCTCATTCTTTAATGTTAAAAAAACTAATAAATTATAAGAAACTATAGTTTTAAATATAAAAGATAAAAATATTTTAAATCTTAAATTTTGTGATTGATATTAAAGAAATAATTTTATTGTCAAAACAACAGGAGAGATTTCACAGAAGGTTAATACAAGGAACAGTGTCAAGTGAGCAATGTGAACTTGCTGACATTTTGTACTCGAGCATCTGAAAAAGTTAGGGATGTTGACAGAGTCATGGGAGTGAATTATACCCTCCTTTTTATGAAATATACATTTCTTGCTTTCCTGCCCTGGTATTTCTTGTGTTTCCGGAGCAATTGATACATTGTTATGTTGTGTTAGTCACTCAACACACTGTTTTTTTGTATGTCCTGTGCAGGCAGTAATCCTTGTCCTGGGCAAGGGCTGTATGTCATTAATCTTTTTATCTGTGGATCCCAGTCATGCACAGTAAGATGTTGAATTAGAGACTTGGAGTTGATCAGAGACAAACCCAGAAACCCTTGCCACACAAGTATAGGCCTGACAAAACATAAACTCACAGTATGCCTGTAGGTCATACAAGATGTTTTCAGTTTATCTTCATTGATTTACATCCTTGAAGCTACAGGTGGCCAAATAGGAAAATATACATGCACATAAGGTGATTATTGAAAATGTTATAGTAGGATTTTGGATTCTTTATTATAAATCTTAAAATAACTAATTGTTATTGTTTTGAGACTTACCTTTGTCATCTCAGGATCTGATGTACAGTCTGGCACACTGGGTAAGGAATTGATCAGTTGAATGCATAAAGATTTTGTACAAATTTCCACCCTAGGGTTCCACTGGCATGTCCCCTAAAAGTATTTTTACATGACCCATTCTGAAGCTTCTTAAAAGCATAAGTACTTTCTTTTCAGTACGCTTTAGAACAATTGAATTGGGTTATTCAAAATGTTATATTTAAAAAGAGCTGTAGGTTAAGAATTGTTTTCCCTCTGAAATAACGTAAGACAAAGCTGGAAGATCACTTAAATGGTAAATGAGAGTGATAATAGTTGATAACATGTATTAGGTCTAGTTTTAGATTTTTTTTAAATTATAGACTAATATATATGTAGTCTTTTCCATATAGAAAATGCTGGGAATTAAGGCTGAGGTGGAAAGATTGCTGGTCGACACTGGGGTGGCCGTGAGTATGCCACTGCACTCCAGCCTGGGCGACAAAGTAAGATTCCAACTCAAAAAAAAAAACAGAAAGAAAGAAATTATAATAAGAACTATCATTTGACCATTCTTTCTTTAATATTTCTACATTTGAGAGAGCAGTTTGGCTATTGAATTGATATTGTTATTTTTAATGTTTGAGTTTTGGTTAGTTTGTTCTTGGTGGGTTTGTTTGCTTTATTATATGTTCCATGACCTGAAACAAATTGCATAGTTCTTATTTTCCTCCCAGCAGTTTATTGTAAACATTGATGTCTTTATCTATAAAACTGTTATGGTTGTCTAGATGTGTATTTCATGTATTGGCTTCTTTGTTCTAGTTACAATTAGGTAAAAATGTATACCTTAAATTCATGATTTTCGAGGTCATCTGTAATTTGGTATTATGAAATGCCTGTGAACAGCCTTGGAATTCTTCATATGACTTGTGCACTGAAGGTGTTAACAGCTGCAGTTGTTTTTGTTCATTTGTATACTTGTTTATCAGACATTTACTGGGCATGTAATATGCTCCCACTATTATGCCCAGGTGCTATGAATACAGTGGTGATGAGCAAAATAGATGTGGGCCCTGTTCCTACAGACGTGTTCATACTCCTTGGATTACTCAAGAAAACTCAAGTAATCACAAGAAACTACAAGTGTGTTGAGTGCTGACAAAGTTCAGATACTGCTATAAGGATTTATCCCAGCTTTGGAAAATCAGGATGTTTCCTTGAAGAATTGGTATTCAAAATGAGAACTATGGTATCAGTAAGATTAAACTAGGGGAAGGAGGGACAAAGCATTCTCTGCACTGGAAATAGTTGGAGCAAACAAATGCTGGCAGAAGAGAGGAGGGAAGACTATGGTGAGAACACACTGAAGGGAAGAGCTAGAGCATGAGAATTAGAGGGACAAGGTAAAAAGTGGGACTGGAAAGGTAGCGGGTCATGTCATTACAACTAGTCTTGTTAAAAATTGGTGGCGGGAGCTAGGAAGGAAGGGAACAGGATTAAATTTGCCTTTTGAGTTGATTATCAGCTTTTGATTCTTTGGGGTATATATCTAGGAGTGGAATTGCTGGGTCATATGGTAATTTTACCAAATACTGTGATATAGCTTTATTGTTCCTTGATAACTGGTGGTAGGGAGGTAGACTAAAGAGTACTAAATAGTCTTTCATCATAAGAATTCAATAGATCTCTAAGTTATAAATCAGGAAATAGCACTTAATGCATATCATATCCTATATGGAAGGCAAATAGAAGAATTAGCTTTTGCTATTGTACCTAATCAACTTAAACACCCATATTATTGGATAGAAACAACTTTGATGACTATTTATAAATAAGCATTGTCAAACTATCTTATACTGTATCGTATCTAAGAATTACTGTCTTGGTTTGAGGATGGATAAGAAAATTGTTTCCATTCAGTGAAATAATCTCTTAAATCTCTGGTTTGTTTTTTTCTTTTGAGAGGAACAGTTTACTTTAGGATTCTAAGTGATTAACTGTAATTTCTTTTAAAAAGCATTAGTATAAGTCTTGATTTTAAATTTGAGTTCTGAACTATTTACTTAATAAAATTGTCTCTTCATGCTTGATATGTCCAGAACCCAGAACTTAGTTCAGTTTTATTGGGACCCTCTTACTGACCTATAGAGAATTATTGAATATATCATGTAGGATTGGAAGAGATTTTCCACAAGTCAGTTTTGTTTGAAAACCAATAAAAATAAATTTAATAATTTTTATAAACAGGTTGTCAAACCTCAGATTGATC